AACAGGACCTGGAGGGGCTAAGATGCAGCAAGGAGAAATAACTGTCTGCCAGAGCGCACGGCCGAGGTGCTGGGAGCGTGCTTGCCTGGGATGCACAAGGCTCAGGCTCCAATCTTCAGTGGGAATCATTGGCCGGCCGCGGTGGTACAAATATTCTATCCTAGCACTCGGGAGAGTCTGAGGCCAGCCTGGGCTGTATAGTTCCAGGCTGGCCAGGACTACATAGTAGAAACTCTATGTCCAAATAAAAAAATAAAATAAAAGAGGTGTAGTTGGTCTAGGTTAGGGTGCCTGTGGTGGAGGTGGGGAAGAAAGGGTTTAATATTTTGGCTCCCCCATCACATATTATTTAAAATATTACCATCAGGTGATCATGGCTTTTTTTTTTTTTTTTTGGAAGAAATCTTGGGCAGAAACCTGGATTACGTGGAGAGAACAAAGAGCAGGAATAACAGGGCATCTCTGAGTTGAGCGACGTTAAACACGCCCCTTGGGGATCAGTGTTATTTAACCTTTCATAAATGATTTTTAAGAGGGAATTCTTTGAGGCGATTCAAGGTACACACACAGATTATCCTTTCCTTTCCAGGCAGTAAAATGTCAAGTCCACAGGGATATCTAAACCAGGCCCCTCAGTAATAGCCTGTCATCCATCCCAGGACGTAGGAGGGGGGGGCAGTAGGATCGGGAGTTCAAGGCCAGCCTAGGATACATGATGCCCTGCCTCAAAACAGTAATGATAAAAACAGGGAGTGGGGGGCTGGAGAGATGGCTCAGAGGTTAAGAGCATTGGCTGTTCTTCCAGAGGCCCTGAGTTCAATTCCCAGCAACCACATAGTGGCTCACAACCATCTGTAATGAGATCTGGTGCCCTCTTCTGGCTTACAGGAATACATGCAAGCAGAACACTGTAAACATAATAAATAAATATTAAAAAAAACCAAAAAAACAGGGAGTGGGCCAGGCGGTGGTGGCGCAGGCCTGTAATTCCAGCACTTGGGAAGCAGAGGCAGGTGGATCTCTGTGAGTTCGAGGCCAGCCTGGTCTACAGAGCTAGTCCAGAACAGGCTCCGAAGCTACAGAGAAACCCTGTCTTGAAATCAATCAAACAAACAAAAAAAACAGGGAGTGGGATGGCGGACCTCAAATGTCAACCTGATGAGATTCAGAACCTGGGGATGGGGGGTGTCGGGGGATAGGCCTCTGGGCATTCCTGTCGGGGGTTATCTTGGGCTAATTAAAGTAGAAAGAGCCATTCTAACGATGGGTGAAGCCATTCCCGGGGATAGAGTACTCTGTTGTAGAAGGAGGAAGGGAGCTGAGCACAAACAAGACCCTTCTCCTTCTGCTTCCCAACTGTGGCTGTCATGTGACCAGCTGCCTCAAGCTCCTCGTCCTGGGCCTCACTCCTCCTCCTCGGAGACCCAAACCCGGAACTGTGAGCCAAGAGCAAGCTTTTTCCCCTCAAGCTCCCTCTGTCAGGTATTTTATACGGCAACAGGAAAAGGGACGAATGCGGGGACCACGTGCCAGAACATTTCTCAAACCACGTGCGTCTGCTGCAAAGCGGACCTTGTCTTGCCAGACAGCCACCTATAAGGTGGCTTATATGGGAGGAGACGATTTGGAGGTTAGTTTTAAGATCGTGCGCTCTGAACTGGCAGCTGGAACCAAGGAAAGGAACCTAAGAGGTAAAGAAAATTTATCCTTCAGGATGTCAAAGACGCTGGAGAGATGGCTCAGTCATTAAGTGGAGGCATGAGGACCTGAGTTTGGATCCTGGGCACCCGTCTGTAACCCTAGCCCTAGGGGCAGGGGTGTGGGGTGGAGACAGGTGGACGGACATCTCACTGGCCGGACAGTCTAGGCAGTCTGTGAGGTTCAGGATCAGAGAGAGAGCCAGGCTCAAAGTATGGTGTGATAGCCATTAGAGATCAACCGTTGGCCTCCACATGCCTGCTCCCCCACACGCATGCTCACTCCTACACACGCAGAGACAGACATCAGCGCCCCCACCCCCCATTCTCCCCGGAGCAGGAGCTCTGCTATGCAGCCCTAGCCCATGCCGGCCTTGAATTTGCTGCTCTTCCCTTTCCTCAGTCCCCAAGCGCTAGAATTACAGCCGCGTACCACCATTCACAGTGTGACATTAACTCCTTTAAAGTCGACAAGGCCAGCAAACGTTCATGTGGAATAAAGACAAAGGACCCTGGAGAGATGGCTCAGTGGTTAAGAGCACTGGCTGCTTTTCCAGAAGACCCAGGTTCAAGCCCCGGTACCCACATGGTGGCTCACGACTATAACTCCAGTTCCAGTACATTCGTATAGGTAAAATACTCATATACATAAAATAAAAATAAATACATATAAAATATTAATCATATACATAAAATAAAAATAAATACATATAAAATATTAAGAAAGACAATAACATTAGCTGCAACAAGACTTCAGTATATTCTTCTCTTGTACAACATTACCCTGATAGCCAAATGACTTTGGCTTGGAGACTTCAGCTACCTGCTTGCAAAATGATTATTACAGATGGGTTTGTTGGCAGCTGACATGCCCTCATAGAAAGAAGTGGGGAGTGGAGAGGGCCATGGGAGGCTGACCTGAGGGTCCAGATGATCCTCCCAGCCCCTTGTCTAAAGTTCTGCCCTAATTGCACATGGCTTTGAGGTCTTGGAGAGGGGCTCTGTGTGGGTGGCTATGGGGAAGTGAGTATCCACGTTCCATGCAGACTTTGCTGTGCGGCTGTTTAGGGTCGCCCACACTCCTGCCTATCACCCCTCACACTCTCAGGACGTAAGTCTAAGTTCATTGGTTTCCCAAGGTGAACTTTGGTGGAGTCAAACTTTTGTTTGTTATTGGGACCTTAGGAGGAAAGGCATAGACTGTTCAGTTCCCCGACCCCCCACTCCGAGGAAATTCTCTCCCCTCTCTTAGGTGTGCAGTACTGGCAGGTGAGACGCCTTTAATCCCAGCACTCAAAAGGCAGAGGCAGGTGGATCTCTGTGAGTTCGAGGCCAGCCTGGTCTACAGAGCGAGATCCAGGACAGGCAGGACTACACAAAGAGACTCTGTCTCAAAAAAAAAACCAAAACAAACGAACAACAACAACAACAAAAAGATAAGCTGAAGTCTATAAAAGAATGAAGGTTCAGAAGAAGAGGGCCTTTTCATACAACCCTATGATTCTTTAGCAAACTGTTCATTTTTATTTATGTGTGTGTGAGTATCACCACACGCAGGTGACAGCCACAGAAGCCAAAAGAGGGCGTCAGATCCCTGGAGCTGGAGTCCCAGGCAGTTGTGAGCCACTTGTTGTGGATGCTGGGAACTGAACTCAGGTCCTCTACAAGAGCAGCACATGCTTTTAACCCCTAGGCCATCTCTCCAGGCTCACAATCCTATTATTTTAAAAATTAGCAAGCAAGAGAAGCTTGAAAACTGGAGTAATATCTATGTGGAAAGATATGGCTAGAGAACATACAAAAGAAGGTCATTTTTTTTGGGTGGGGGAAGAAGGATCCTTAAGAATTTTCCAAAATGTTAGGCCAGCAGGATGGCTCAGTGGGTTAAATGTTCTTGCTGCCAAGCCTGAGGACTTGAGTTTGATTCCCTGGACCTAAACGGTGAAAAGAGAGAACAGAATTCTGCAAGTTATTCTCTGACCTCCACACTTGACACACACACACACACACACACACACACACACACACACACACACACATAGATGTAATAAAAATAAAAAACTTTTCAATATTTAGAAACCCTAGTGTGGTAGTAGAGGGATGGATGGAATGGGCAACTTGCACACGTCCTCAGTCCCTTGTCTGAACAAAAACTTCTTTGGAGCAGGAAGTACCCTCCCTCCATTTACCCCCAAATCGCCCTAGGGCAGAAACACTCAAAAAGAGGTGTCATGAACATGACACCCAAAGGGGACAACATGAATGCTAAAGATGGATCCCATTTTGAGTCATAATTATATTGAAAACTGATTCTAAAGGGGAAAGACTTCTTTCCTTTTTTTGTTTTGTTTTGTTTTGTTTTGTTTTGTTTTGTTTTGTTTTGTTTTGTTTTGTTTTGTTTGAGACAGAGTTTCTCTCTGTAGCTTTGGAGCCTGTCCTGGACTAGCTCTGTAGACCAGGCTGGCCTCGAACTCACAGAGATCCGCCTGCCTCTGCCTCGGCGTGCGCCACCATCGCCCGGCAAGGCGAGATTTATAATCGGTTAATAATGGGAGTTAAGGATGCTGGGAAGGGGTACATCTTTCATCTTCTTCCTTGGTGCCATGGAGATGTCCGACATCCTTGGCTGAAATGGTACCTGGAAATCTGAACTAGGAGGGGGAAAGAGTATTTCCTAAGCATGATTTCTCAGTACCTGGATCCTCGTAACCAGGAAGAGTGAGACCCGAAGGAGGGATAACATCACTTTGAAGCACGGAGTTCAGTTAGCAGAAGAGAGGGAGGTTCTGATGAGCCAACTGCTACTCAGGCCACAGTTACCCACCCCGGGCTACAGCCAAACCTGTCTTCTAAGACACTGGGGTCATAAGGGAACGGAAGGGGAGTAACAACCCTGGGTACCACTGAGCAGGGAGACGTTCAAAAGCGGTCTTACAGTTATCACTTACTTGTAGGTTAAAGATTTCTGTATATAAATGTTATGGTATCTCCTTACCTCCCCCCTCCCACCCCGCAAGAGACCCAGGACCTCAGCCCATCAAAGGCAACAGTCTCATCGCCTTCCCAGTAGGTCTTTTTTTTTTTTTACCTGCTTCTCTGCTTCCACTGAGTAGGAACTTTCAGCCCCGCCTTCCTGCCCATCTAAGCCCCGCCTCCCCGGCCCACCTGTGTGCCCAGCCCGTGACGTTGCCGCGGGGCTTCAGCGGCCCGCAGGATCCCGGATCCTCATTGGTCCATCCGTCCACCGGCCTGCGCAGCCCACCAATGGCAACGGCGCTGGGCGGGGGGAGGCGGGGGGGGGGAGTGCCCACATCCAAGATGGCGCCCCCAGGAGCTGGGAGCGGGTGACCGGCGGCGGGGAAGCGGCCTGGGCTGGGGCCCTCAGATTGCGGGGTCCCGGGGGCCTGTCGCGGGGCGCCCCCGTGACCCACCGACCAGGCCTTCCCCCCGGGCCGGAGCGATGGCCGCCGAGAACAGCAAGCAGTTCTGGAAGAGGAGCGCCAAGCTGCCGGGGAGGTGAGCCCAGGACGCTGAAGAGGGGAGTGGGGATTGGACCCGAAGCCTTCCAGATCCTGATCCCTGAATCCCGCGGGCTCGGGGCGCCCCCCTCCCCCGAGGCCGGGGGGGCTGGTGTCGGGGTCGCCCAGGCTGGAGCAGCTGTCTCTCAGAGGAGCCTGGCCGGCTTGGGTGTGGGGTGCAGACTGGGGTCTGGGGGCGGGGAACTTGAGCTGGGAGGTGTCCGGGGACCCGGCGTGAGGGCCGGTGGAGTTGGGTGAGTTGCGGCCGTCCGCCTGGCCTCGGAGGACCCCACCTGCACAGCCGCTTCCCACTTTGTGCAGAGCTCCTCGGGGGTCACCAACAGCACGGGTGGGCTGCTTGCGTGAGGGTGGCCCCCTGGCCACCTTGGTCCCCTAGCCCAGCGCGCTCCTGTCTTCCCTGTGGACTCCCCAGGGGTGCTGGTGGGAGAGCCTGGGGCCAGGTCGGCAGGGGGGTGAGCCAGGACAGTGAGGGGTATTCTCAAGCCTGACCTCACTTTGCCTTGAGTTGGCCCTTTCTCCCTAGACATTACTACGGGGTGGGCACAGGATGGAGGGTTGCTCCTGTGGCCTTCTCCAGGCACTTGGGCAGCCCAGTTAACCTCTTCCCCCTGAGAAGTACTGTTCTTTTTGTGTACGTGCACTGGATTCTTTATTCCTCAGCTTTGGTGGCTGGCGAGCAGGCCTCCCAAGCAACTTCTTTTCTCAAGTTTTTCTTTTCCCGTCTTGGTTGTCTGTTGACATTGGGAGCAATTGTCCGTCCACCAGTCTGCCATTGGTTGACTGGTTCGGTTTGTTTTGGGTCGTGTCCTGAAAAGCGAAAGGAGTTTGTGTTTCCCTAGTGAATCGAAGATTTCTGTCCGCCTCAGGCTGCTTGGTGTTAAGATGTGTTCGTGTCCCCCGCCTGTTCTCGCTCCTGATTGATTGACACATGTCTTTTCCTTCAGGTGCAATCCTTTGATCTCCTCCCCGCTTCCCTTTCTACTCTCCCTCTCTCCCACTCTCCCTCTCCCCCCCTCCTTTCCTCCCTCCCCAATTTTCTCTCTCTTCTGTTTCCTCCTCCTGTTCCTCTCCTCTCCCTGTCTCTCTTCACACTGGTCAAGGCAAACACTACCACCGAGCTACGGCCCCCACGCCACCCTCTTCTTCAAGCAAAAGAGAACTAAGAGTCAAGTCCGTATCAGCTGTGGAACTTATTAGACACGTGGAGAAAGTTCAGGGAGCAGATTTTAGCAACACATAGTACTGTAATACCAGGGGAGGCAAAGGTAGCCTGGGATTAAAGCGCTGTGGGGGTGCCAGCGCTGTGGGGGTACCGTGTTCTCACATTGTACGGTGACACTCTGTGTTTTCAGATAAGCTTCACTTCCTGCCACTGATTTCTTTTCCTTCCTGCTTGTGTGAGTTCTCCAGCTGCGTCGACTGTTCTCTGTGAGTTTGCTAGGGAGGGATCATTACATTTTGATATCCTAATACAGTAATCAGTGGAAAAATGGCCACATCAGGAAGCCGTGGTGAGGACAGTGGGGGATGGGTGGTCTTTGTGCCTTCAGACTGCCGGATGTGGTGCATTAATGGTCTTGTGTTTTCTTTATTTCTTCTACTGGAAAGCACTACTTCAAATAATTATGTTTATTCATTTACTATTCTATCTAGTGTGTGTGTGTGTGTGTGTGTGTGTGTGTGTGTGTGTGTAGATGTGTGCAATGCCACAGTGCTCATGTGGAGTTCAGAGGACAATTTGTGGGGTCAGTTCTCTGCTTCCACCCTGTGGGTCTTAGGGATTGAACTCAGGTCACCAGAATTGGCAGCACGTGCCTTTACCTGCTGAGCCATGTTTTTTGTTTGTTTTGTTTTTAAGACAGGGTTTCTCTGTGTAGCCCTCTTTGTCCTAGAACTCACTCTGCAGACCTGACTGGCCTCAAACTCAGATCTGCCTGCCTCTGCCTCTGCCTCCCGGGTCCTGGGATTAAAGGCATGTGCCAGAAAACATTACCTTTGCTAGATAGGAAGACTCTTCAGTTCCTTCAAATCTCTGGCTTCCTTTTTCATTTTGAAACAGAGCAGTAGAAGCAAGAACGTTGGAGTCCAGGTTATTATTATTGTTGTTGTTATTCAGCTTCTCTTTACTGTATGATTGACAATCTGTCTAGACCTCAGTTTCCTAATCTGTGAAGTGGGGAATAAAAACACTTCCCTCAGGGTTACATGAAGGCTAAATGAAATGCCCTGTTTGTAAAGAACCACGACAGTGTTTATTTAGTACAATGTACTTGCTCCATAAATAGTCATTATTAATCGTACTGTTGTTATTAGAGCAAGTAAACAGTTAAAAGGATGCTTCTCAGCTCCCCCCAGTATTAGTTGTTTGTCTTGTTCATTATCGAGGCATAAAAATGTTGCCATGATCCATGAACATTTTTAATACCCGCCGGGTGAGGGAAGTGTGGTCCCCTGTGCACTGAGCACAGCGCCCCAAGCTCAGGGCTGCTGAGGGAAGCTGGTGCTTCCCATAGATGGGGCTTTGCTTCCGGAACAGAACTCTGACACCTGAACTCTCGTGAGTCTGGAAAAGAGAAAGGTTCTCCCGGGCCGGCAGATGAGTGAGCATGTGCAGGGTCCCAGCAGGGTAGAAGCGGAGCTGCTTCTCTCTTCTTTACAGTGGGAAAGGTCAGAGGAGTTCCTTCCAGTTCAGGCCGCGGCGGTGACTTGCAGGCTCTTTAATCCGATGGAGTGACTTTAGTGACAACAAATGGAAAGTTTGCTAGAATAGCCCAAATTAAAAACAAACGGAGCGTCCTTTAAAGTCTCCTTGTTTGGGTTGAGACAGTCTCACTATGTAGTCCTGCCTGGAGCTTACTGTGTAGACCAGGGCTAGCCTTGAACTCACAGAGGTCCGCCTGCCTCTGCTTCCCCAGGCCTCCCACTATGCCCAGCTCTTTAAATATTTTTAAAATTTTATTTTGTTGCGTATGAGTGTTTGCTGTGCATGTAACCCTGTGCACCATTTGTGTGCCTGCGGTGCCCACTGAAGCCACAAGAGGTCATCAGATGCTCTGGGACCCTGTGACCACGTGGCTGCTGGGAATCAAACCCGGGTCACCTTAAGAGCAGCCAGTGCTCATAATTGCTGACCATTTCTCTAGCCCTGAAGCGTTCTTTTTCTTTCTTCTTTTTTTTTTTTTTAAGATTTATTTATTTATCATGTATACAGTGTTATGACATGTATGCCTGCATACTAGAGGAGAGCATCGGACCCCATTACAGATGGCTGGGAGCCACCATGTGGTTGCTGGAAATTGAGCTCAGGACCTCTGGAAGATTAGCCAAGAGTCAGTGCTCTTAACCTCCGAGCCATCCCTCCAGCCCATCTTTTTCTTTTTTTAAAAAATGTTACTGAGATAAAAAAAAATTCACTCTTTTTTTTTAGATTAATTAATTAATTAATTAGTTTGTCTTACTAAGTACCCTTGGCTGGCCTGGAACTCACTATATAGACCAGGCTGGTCTCCGACTCATGGAGACGCACCTGCTTCTGCCTCTCAGGGGCTGGGATGAAAGGTGTGCGCCACCAGCCTTGGTTTATTTTAAGTGTCCGAGTGTTCTGCCAGCACGTATGCCTGTACACATGTGCACACCTGTGCTGGTGGCAGAAGTCATAAGAGGGATTGGATCCCCCGGAATTTGAATTACGAAAGATAATTGTGAGCTGTCCTGTGGGTGCTGGGAACCAAACTTGGGTACTCTGCATGAGTGATGGGTGCTTTTAAGTGTGGAGCCATTGTTCCGGCCCCAAATTCACTCTTAAATATATGGTTCAGTGGTGTGCAGGGAATTCATCCTGAAAGTATGTTTTTGGCCATCCATCACCACTAATTTCAGAATACTTTTAAAAAGATTTATTTATTTTTAATTTATATATGAGTGTTTTGTACGCATGTAAATGAATCGTGTGTGTGCAGTACCTGCAGAAATCAGAAGAGGGCGTCAGATCCCTTAGAACTGAAGTTGCAGGTGATTGAGAGTGCCACATGGCTGCTGAGAACTGAACCGAGGTCCTCTGCAAGAACAGCCAGTGCTCTTAACCACTGAGCCTTCTCTCTTGTCCCTGATTTCAAGACATTCTGAAAAATATTTATTTTCAGACAATGTGTTGTTATGTAGCTCACTGTGTAGCCCAGGCTGGCCTCGAACTCACAGAGATCACCTGCCTGTGCCCCTGAATGCTGGGATTCAAGGCGTGCGCCACTGCACTCAGCTTAGGTCACTGTGTCAGTGTGGGCAGATAAGCAGCAGGTACCACTGTTACAGAACGCACTCTCTGTCACCTGATTGCCTGGGTTAAAATCCCAGTTCTGACACTTCCCTAGCTAGGCGACCTGTCTCAAAAAACTAAACTGAAGGCTGGAGATGTAGCTCAGTGGTTGACCCCTGAGGTCAAGGGTTAGTTCCAGCATCAGGGAAACCCATTCTAGCCAACCTGAGAAAGTGAGTGACTTGGTCCTGTGTCTTCAGTGGGTACAGGACATTTAAAACCCTCCCCCACTCCCACTTTTGTCCACTTAGTGTCAGGAAGGTGACCAGATATTGGGACAGATACCTTTCTCACATGTGTTACATGTTGCCAAACCCTGCTGGGCCACCTCTGAGTTCTGGGAAGACAGGCTGGGGAGGTGAGTTAGTTGTTCACCACTAAGCTGCTCACAGTGAGCAAGGTAGTGAGGCCTGAGCCGGCAGGGGGCAGGGAAGAGCAGTTGAGTTCAGAGTCAAGAGATTTGCTGATCATCCAAGGTAGTAAGGCCTGAGCTGGCAGGGGGCAGGGAAGAGCAGTTGAGTTCAGAGCCAAGAGACTTGCTGATCATCCAAGCAGGGAGTAGGTGGAGGGAGGAGGGGTCACTCCCAAGTACTGATCTTCAGAGAAGAAGCCAAGTGAAGCAGGCAAAGGCGCTACCACCAAGCCTGAAGACCCGAGTTCAGTCC